AGGTTTAGGGATGGTTTAATGTGCAAGGGATGGGAAAGCAGTCTAATTCCACATTTAGGTATAGTGTTATTACATCCATATATTTAATCAAGCATACATAAAATGTAAATACATGTATTTACACAATAAGTACCTTGTAACAAATGATTAATTTCAGTGTAATTACATATCAGTTAAGATTAGTTCTTTAAAATCTTTAGATTATATAATTGTACTTCAACAAGAAATGTATTTTTGCAACTTATTTGCAACCTCATTAAAGTGCAATTTTTAGAAGGTAATTCATACAGTGTAATCCAGTTATGATAACAAAGGGTTGAATCTTATTATTACTGTATATTTGAATATATTTATTCTGCTAATACTTGTTATGTTCAATATTTTCATAATTATGTACATACAGACATATAATTAGAGTTAGGTCAGTATCTGTGTGTTATTGTCCTTCACACCTAACATGCAGGAAGAGAATAAAACATTAGAGATGACATCAGAAATAACAATTCATTAAAATACACAGAAAATGAATCCTGTGCAACTGAATCGCTATGAAGCGGATGTTTTTACATAATGCTTTCAGTTAGTGATGCTCTCTGTTGGTCGGAAAGAGTAATGGGCTACTCAAACACTTCTTTTGACTTTAGAGACTGATACTTATTTACAATGAAATAAGCAATTCTTGATATGATTAGCATAAACAATAGTGTTTTACACATTGCATATTAGTATGATTCTTTTAAGACATTAGACATGTCTTTATAAAAAAAGATATGAGTGATTAAATAATTTCTGCTTGTTTAGAAAAGTGGATCATGCCCAGAATATGCAGTCACTAATGCATGTGGAAAAACTAAATTTTACTTTGGCCTTAAAGGGATAGCTCACCCAAAAATTGACTAATCCTCCACACACTGGATGGTAAACTGAAGAATGTTGGGGAAAAAAACAGCCTTTGTCATCCATAGTATTTTTCTTATCCTACTGTGGATGCTTTTCCCCAACATTCTTCAGAATATCTTGTTTTGTATTCAACAGCAGAAAGAAATTCATAAAAGTTTAGAACTGCTTGAGTAAGGGGATTTTCATTATTGTGTGAACTATCCCTTTAAGAGATTATTGATTGTAGTTTTACTCATACATGAACTGTTAACAGGTTCTGGATCAGACGGTGCTGAGGAAATCAAACGCCATTCATTCTTCATGACAATTGACTGGAATGTAAGTACAGACTTTAAATTCCTATAACTTATGAAAGCAATTCTTTTACAGCAGCTGAACGTAACAGTCTTTTAATCATTTTCAGAAACTCTTCAGACGAGAGATAAAACCCCCATTTAAGCCAGCAGTGGCCAGACCAGACGACACCTTTTACTTTGACTCAGAGTTCACGTCTCGTACACCTAAAGGTAAGTTTTGTTATCTGTGATCAAACTCTGTATGACTCGTAGTACTTTTTTGAGGGGGCTGTTGTGAGAATAGTTAAACCAGTCTAAACAGATATAGTATGGCCAATCAATTAAACATGTTGTTGTGGAGTTAAATGGGATAGTTCTCATCCTCAGGTTTTCAAAACCCATTGATTTACATTCTCTGTGTAAAACAATAAGAGGATTGGTGGAATGCTTGAAGGATACTGCTTTTTTATATTATAAATGTGGATGGGGACAAGGGGCTGTCAAACTCCAAATAGGATGAACAATATCATAACCCAGAGGCTTTTGCAGATCTTCATAATCCATGCTATCATATCATTAAGGGATGGATTCATTTTTATCACCTCAAATACAGTGCTCAGCATATATAAGTACACCCCTCACAAAGCTCTCATTTAAATTAATATTTTTTTATAGGATGTTTTAAATTTATATATTATTGCATATACATTAGTTTAGTCATTCTAATCTGGAGCTAATATAATAAAATAACTTAATAATAATAATAATAATAACTTAGATTAGCAGCCTAAATGTATATGTTAGAGAAAATTATTAAATAAAACATTAAAAATCCCAGAAATGTTTAAAATGTTGTCGAAATCTTGTAGGTTGTAATTTATTTTTGCAATATTTTGCCTGAATTTAATTCTATTATCTTTGTTTTTCTAAATATGTTTGGTGACTAAAATATTTTTTTAATAAATGTATCTGTTTAAAAACTGTTTTGTTTAAATGCACCAAAATTTATGACCTATATTCACTGATAACTGGGCAAAAATATTCATTTTTAAAATGAGGTGTACTCTATTATGCTGAGCACTGTATGATGTGACTTCTGTTCCAAAGAGACTTTAAACAAAATGAATTTAGCAGGCAAAACATTCAGCGAAGACACACGTTGGATTTGTACTAAATTAATAAGATACAATGTTTTTTTGATGGTTAAAATAAATGTTGTAGATGTTGCAACTATTTCTGTTTTTGTTTCAGGGGGTCCGCGGGGTCTTAAACAGTCTTAAAATGTCTTAAATCTCAAAAAACTAATTTTAGGCCTTAAAAAGTTAAATATTTGCTGAAATATTGTGTTGTAGGTCCTAACTTTTTTCCCTTTGTTCATGTATAGTTACACAGTCTGGCCATCACTGCCAACAATCTGGCCAACATTTCACCTCAATAAAACTTATAACTTTTTATTTAAAAATGTTATTTTTAACTTTACATAATATTTGTTAATTAGTTCTCCATTTACTGTATTTACTGCTGAGGACACTGACCCGAACAGATATTTTTGCATACATTTAGTTTTTTATAATTTTAAAACATTTTTACAACTTTTTTATTTTATATTAAAGAAAGGTTATGTTGAAAACAGGTTTATGTATACAACTGGAGCTTGCTTGATTTGAGACATTTGAAACATGTTGCTAAGAAATAGTATTATTAGTATTATTATAATTAGTATTATTATTATTACTATTAAATGTATTAAATTTTATTTTTAATAGGTAAAAAAACTATAATTTGGGCCATTAGAAAAACTCATCAGCGTTTATTCTAAAATTTCATTTATGATGGTCATAAAAATGTCTTAAGTCTCAACTTGATTTTACAGGTACAACTACAGGTAGCCTATTAAACATTATTTCTGAAAGAAATATTAAAATGTGACAATCACTTATCCAACATGTTTTTTTTTTCTTCTAGACAAAATAATTATACACATTTTCTGTAAATATTGATAAAATATCTGACAATATTTTTTTATTTAGTAAAAGTTTCCTAGATAGTCATGGTCTCCATTCACTTTTAGTGTATTTAAAACTGCAGTATGAACATTCTTCTCAGCATCTCCTTTTGTGTTATGGGATTTTCATTTCTGGGTTAACAATCCCTTTAATAGTTCCTGTGGTCTCTTCATAAATAAGCTAGTCATAGGACAGAAGATTGAGTTTTCATGCCAGTAGATTTGATATGGAGTTTCAGCTTCATGGTTTCTCTGGTTTTTCTTTTTTTCAGATTCCCCTGGCGTTCCCCCCAGCGCTGGGGCCCATCAGCTTTTTAGGGGCTTCAGCTTTGTTGCCACGGCGATGCTGGAGGAGGAGGGCAAAGAAGAGCCCTCAAAACCCCCTCCACACCCTGTGGTGCAGGTCAGTGATAAAGGAACTAATAAAATGAATAACTAGAATTGCATTGTGCTGTGGTGCTTAAAAAGATTCCCTGACAGCTTTTAAGATGCTGTTTGATGAGGCTAATCAGTTCAGGTTAAGCTTAAGTTAATCAGTGGCGTGCTTTTAATTACCACAGAGAATAATTAAGCATTTAGTCTCATTACAGTGTGTCCAATTTTCTTCTCATGGTCATTTAAAGTGGTTCACTTATGCTTTCAACAGTAAGCTTCCTGCATAATATTCTTCTCTGCATCTGTAAGCACTGTTTCTAAACTCCCTCAAACAATATCTTAGGATAGCAATATCCCATGTCAGAAGAAAACAAAAATACTTCCAAAGGAGGTAAAGTCTGGTTAATTTGTGTTGGTATAATGTCACTAAAAGACATCTGTAAAATCTAACATACTGATACACATTAGTTTTCTTCCACAGATTCATCTTTACATCTCATATAAGGGCAGTATTAGAACCACTTTAAAGTAAAAATAATAGAATAAACAAATGCTATAGCTTTCTTGCTGGTTATAAATACAGTAGATCTAATGTTAATATTTTACATTTTATGTTTAAAACTGTTTTTTTAAACAGCTAATAAACAAATTATTTACTTGGGTTAGAGTTTGTTTTAAACCCAGATTCGTTTCTTGAACTGCATTGTCATGTCATTTGATTTATGTGTATTTGCAATGGTGACCACTAGAGAGCAGTATTTCCACCTTTTCTATTTGATTTATGTAGAATTCAGTTTAATGTGGTTTAACGGGTGGTTTAACATGAGTACATTTTGATGTAGGGTGTCACTGGGGGGTGGGGGGTATGTAAAAGCTCTGTAAATGGCTTCACTCTGTTTTGGTGAAATCAGATTTCTGTTTAATATTGATATTGTGTCTCTTTGTGAAAGCATGCAATTATTGCTTTTATTTGTATTATTGGATCAAATGTCCCAAAAATAATTAACATTTTTGTTGCAGGGACATTATTGTGTTCCATATGAAGAAATTAGCTTATAAATCAGACTTAATGTCTTGCTTGAAAAGTACATAAATCATTACATCTGTGGGAAATCCTAAAACATTGAAATCCAACATGCTGTGTCTTGTTCAGATGTTTCCTCAAGAATAGTAAAACCTGACATTTTGACACAGAGATCACCAGAAATATTTTTTTTTCACATAATGTAAATGACAAAAAAGGTTTCTGTAATAGTTTAGGATAGGTTTATAATATAATAGTTTAGGGTTTGAAATCATTGTTAGGTCAATAAACAAACAATATAAGTCTATAGTCAGCTGTACAAATCCATCTGTGTGTGTGAGACATTAGGTGCACACTGTTCTTATGCTCTATTCTCTGTTGTATACCTGTCTCCAAGCAGCAGCTTCACGGTAAGAACATTTTGTTCAGTGACGGATATGTGATGAAGGAGGACATCGGCATGGGCTCTTTCTCTGTCTGCAAACGCTGCATACACAAAGTAACCAACACAGAGTACGCAGTGAAGGTTAGAGACTCATTATCTTATCCTCTTCCCATGTTGTTGTGCCTTTTATAAAATGATGTAATGGTAATAATTCTGAAAAATTTGGACCAAAAATAAATAAATCTGTATTTTAGATACATTTATTGAATACTACACAGACAGTACTATATACCATTTTGAGGGATGTAAACAAAAACAATGGTCCCAACGCATTTTCTGTTTTACATTTTTAATTTCTATAGCTTCCGAGAATCCAAAAAGAGCCTCATATTGATAAATAATGGTATGATAGCTGTTTTAACATTAAGTTATGATTGAACTGCCTCCTGTTACTGTTTTGAAATAGTTTGATAACAAGCTGGAAATGTTCATGGCCCAATAACATGTCCACATTGAAATGGTCTATAGTATTAATGTATTTCCTTTATACCATTTTAATGAATACATTAACTCTTAAATGCTCTGTATGTTATAAGATTAAGGATATGCTCACTAAAATAATTTTAGATGCCTTATGTACTCAAGTGACTAATATGCTTCTGTATAATGCTGAAAGGTAATTGATAAAACAAGCACGGATCCAACTGAAGAGATTGAGATCCTGCTGAGATACGGCCAGCATCCCAACATCATCACTCTCAAAGATGTAAGTCAACAGAATATATTTTATTTTCTGCATTATTTTAAGTTGACAAATTTCACAATACAGAGAGTTACAGGGTTACAACTCTATATTAAACACAAAAAAAACATTGTGCTGTAGGTGTATGATAATGGGAAGCAGGTCTATCTGGTCACTGAGTTGATGCGAGGAGGTGAGCTGCTGGACAGGATCCTCAAGCAGAAGTTTTTCTCTGAGAGAGAGGCTAGTGCTGTGCTGCACACTATCACAAAGACTGTGGAATACCTGCACTCTCAAGGGGTGAGAAAACATGCATGAACAAATGCACTCGCATTTATCTTGGAGATTAACTTGACACAAGCACAGAATTTGTTAGTATGATTCACAGCTTTGCTTTTCCTCTTCTTTCTGAGGGTGATCCCCAAGGCTCTACCGTGTGCCCTCTTCTATTCCACTCCTCTCTGTTCCCTCTCCGCTATTTACAACGTTTAATGTGATTCAATAATTTGTGTGTTGATGTTTTTTTTCCCAGAAGAACCACGAGAGATAGAGTTCTTAGGGCTAATATCATCCTGTAGCTTTTTATAGAGTGCATTATAGCCGTGTTTGAAAAACGAAAAATTGACTCAATTCAATTCAATTAAACCACTCTTACTTGAAATCTTACCCCAATATTATAGTAAAAAGTGACTGGGGCTTTTGCAACACTAAACATTTTTATTGGATTTCTTATGATTGTTAGACAGATGGACTTTTGATTTAAACATGTTCCCAAAAAGAGTAGACATTAGCTACTTTCACATATGTAGACTTTTCTGGAAAATAACCAGCAATTTTTCAGAAAGGGATCATGTGTGAACAGGCCCTTTTTGAAAATCGCATTTTCAGGCAATTTAATTGTAACATTACTGGTAATCTACTGGCATTTCTGCTGCTTTATGTGATCGCAGAAGGAAAATTGCCGGAAAAAGCGCGTCCACATTTAGAATTTACCGGTAAAGTTTATTTAGTAATTTTCCAGATATTTACCGGTATTAGTGTGTGAAAGGGGCTAATGAGTACCTTATAAAGAATAAAAACTTTGACAACCTTAAGCTATCCTTTATTTGTGATCATGTGGTAATATATATGTAATAATTTACACATTAGAGACATATTCATTCAATAACATGTAACTCTAAATTTAATTCTTAGTTTTTTTTACTGTGCATTAATGCCTCTTGAATTTTTAAAATGGCAGGTAGATTTGCAGCTGTCTGTCAATTCATTGTAGTTCAATGTAAGTTCTTTTGTCCTGCAGGTTGTGCACAGGGACCTGAAGCCCAGTAATATTCTGTACGTTGATGAATCTGGAAATCCTGAATCTCTGCGCATTTGTGATTTTGGCTTTGCCAAGCAGCTTCGTGCTGATAATGGCCTCCTCATGACGCCTTGCTATACCGCCAATTTCGTAGCACCTGAGGTGAGCAGTTGTTCTTACAACAGAGCGGGTAATGCTGTATAGAGTGATTCCACTAAAAACTGAATCCTTATGTATTGTTGGGGATGTTTTCATCCACTCTGGGGTGATTTTAAGTCTTAATTTAGCCATTAAGACTAGCTGAATGATTTTTGGTGAGAAGTCTTATTTTGACACATATTTTGAGAAAATGCTATGAAAAAAAAAAAGCAACATACACTCTGTTTTGTTATGTTGCGTATGAAAACATCCACTGAATTAAACTGCTGTAAAAACGCATCAGACAAATATTTTTTCTCTTTTTTTTATTATTTTTTTGCATAAATCTGTTAATCAACCTCAGTCGTGATCAAAACTACTAAATTGCTTAGAAAATTACAGGATTTTACCTTTATATAGGACTTTATATTAACTTTTCTAGGATTTTTATTATATAAAGTATATAAAAATGATGTATATAAAAAGTAACTGTACACTATATTTTGTTAACCCTTTATCACAGTCTCGGAAATGTGAAACAACATTGCCTTTGATGCATTTGTTTTTGATTGATTTTCATTTGTTTCTCCTTAATTTACTGTTGGTGGCTGTTTTGCTCCACTGACTTCTGTTATAACCATTTTTATTACAAAACTATGACACCATCATATTCATGCATTTTTTATTGTTGGTGGCTTTTCATGTTGAGACGAGATCAAATTTGTCATTTTTACCGTTGGCCATCTGTTAATACAATTAACACTTTAGATTTAGTTTCTGGAGTTTATATGGAGTATAACAGCAAATTAAAAATTGTATGTGCACGTGTATGTGCATGTGTGAGAGAGAGAGACCTTTACGCACTTACCTTGATGTGTCTAAGAAAATAAAAATATGCATCTCGGCTCTCAGAACTACATGGAGTAAACGAAAACAAAGACTGTGTATTTATACATTTTCAAATGTGGTTATAATGGAAGTCAATGGGGCAACAACAGCCACCAACAGTAAATTAGGGAGAAAAAAATGTAAATCTACCAATGCACCAAACCCAAATGTGTTACTAATCGTTCACTTGTCAAAGACTGTAATAAAAGGTTTAAAAAATGCAGTTCACAGTTACTCTTTATATTTAAAAATATGTCATTTTGTGTGGTTTTTCACCAAATCAGTAACATCATTTATCAATTTGGAAATTTAGTAGTAAAAATCCTGTAATTTTTAAAACAATTTAGTAGTCTTGATCAGGACTGAAGTTGATTAACAGGTTTTATGCAAAAAAATTTAAAAACATATTTATCTGATGCATTTTACAGCAGTTTAATTCAGTTGATGTGTTTATCCCTAACAACAAAAAGGATAGTCAATTCGAACAGTGCACAAGGGTTAAGATTTTACAACTATTTTGGCTTCTGTATTGGAAATTATTACTGGCTAAATGATTTCAGATTCTGTGGGATCAGTGTTATGTGGATTTTTAATTTTTTTAGTAACAACTGTTGTCCTTTTGCAGGTACTGAAGAGACAGGGCTATGATGAAGGCTGTGACATTTGGAGTCTCGGCGTATTACTATACACTATGATTGCTGGGTGAGAAGATGCTCATTCACTTCCATTTTTGTAAATATCTTTGCAACACATCCACAACCACTTTCTTTTCGGTTGTTACTTGTTCCAGGTTTACGCCATTTGCTAATGGACCAGAAGACACTCCAGAAGAGATCCTGAGTCGGATAGGGAGTGGACGCTTTACTCTGACGGGTGGCAACTGGGACGCAGTGTCTGATGCTGCCAAAGTAGGCCAATCCCCATTCATCCAGACTGCTTTGAACGGGGGTGTTTTCTCACACACATGTTTTTCTCTACAGGATTTGGTCTCAAAGATGCTCCATGTGGACCCTCACCAGCGGCTCACAGCCAGGCAGGTGCTGAAACATCCATGGATCGTTCAGAGAGACAAACTTCCCAACAGCCAGCTACAACATCAGGATGCCAAGCTTGTCAAGGTATCCCCGCCTTGAGGATTTTGCACTATTTATATGCAGCATGCAAGCACGGTTCCAGAAACAAATCAGTTTGTGAGGGTGCTTCTAAACTTAGCGTAGAGTGCTCTAGAAAACTGTGATTATGTAAGGGCCAAGCATGGAAGGTTGATGGTAAAATATTCTATTTAAGGATTACAGTGCAGCCCTAAAATACTGATTAATTGTCATTTTATGACAAAGGATTTACATTACATAGGTTTACTTTCTAAAAGAAGCAGCTGTTTTAAACAAATCATTTGAATGAATGATTCATTGAATCTCTTGGTAAAGGGATAGTTCACTCAAAAATGAACATTTCCTCAACATTTATTAACACTCAAGTTGTTCCAAATCTTTGAGTGTCTTTTTTTCTGTTGAACAAAAGAAGATATTTTGAAGTAAGTTGTAAACCTGTAACCATTCACTTCTATTGAAGGAAAAACAAATACTGTTGAAGTCAGTGGTTACAGGTTTTCAGATTTCTTTAAAAAAATGTTTTGTGTTTTTTTAAGATTGCGTAATTCACTCTGACCGAATCCCTCCTCCAGATTCCCTTTAGACTTGAAGAGCTGTTTGTAATGTGGCTGGCAGTATAAATGTCCATGGAGAGAGACAAAGTTTTTGAGGCACAAAAAAAAAAAAAAAAACCCAAAAAGGTTTGAAACAAGTCAAGGATGATGGCGATTTTCGGGTGAACCATCTTAAGACAGGGACTTTTCTTGATCTATGGGCAGTTATGTGAATAACGACGTTATAAATAACTTCCGTTACTAACAGCGATACTTTTTTCCAGTAACGAGTAATCAAATGAACTACTGTTTCTCCCGTTACAATGCTGTTACCGTTACTGACAATAAAATGTCCGTTACCATAGTTTTCATGCGAGCAACGTCTCTCAGCCAGCCATAGGACCTCTCTTTTTCTGCGCGGTGTGTCTGTGTGTGTGTTCAGGGCTGGGGCGAGGCACATAACCAACTGGTGATGATGATAAATGTGTCTGAGAACCTGAATATTGGCTAAGATAGAGTAAATTTGCATTGTTTATCAATCAGAGACAGAGTCGTGCTGGTGTTCAAACACAAACACACGCAGTCAGTCGCACACATCAATGACCAGGAGTCAGAACAATGGTAAATCCAGCAAGTTTAAAGGTAGCGTTTGCAAACTAGATATATAAACACCACTTTTCCCTCGTTGAGGTGAAAGGCAGGAATGTTTATGTATCATGCAACTTATGCCCAGAAAAATATAGTCTCTCTGCATCGGTGACAAGTAATTCTAATCTAATGAAGCACCTCACAGCGTCACATGCTGCCACAAAATTAGATAACGTGAACTCTGCTACCAAAGGAGGAGATGAAGCCGTGACGTCAAAACAAATAAAACTTAAAATTCTCCACCGTAAACACTTATTACTCAGACAGAATTTAACAAAACAATATCTAGTGTAGATTAGTGAACAATGTTTGGTAAGAGTTTAATTTGATGGTCTCTATTGCACATTTTGTTGACTAAAAGTTGCATTGCAACTACAAGCCAACTAATTATCATTTGAGTATTAGTAGACTGTCTGCTTAATATCTGCTGATACTGCTCCTTCAACAGACATTCAACTGACTATAAAAAAACTTTGCAAGTACGTCAACTTACACTGACACTAACCCTAACCCCAACCTAACATTCTACTTATAGTCTAATGAAAATTAGTTGGTATGTAGATGCAATGTTATTTAAAAATCCACAAAAATGTGTTAAAGGGACCATTAAAATAAAGTGATACCCAATGTTTTATTTTTATTTTATAGTCATTTGAAAAAATTGACTTTTTAAAGTAACACAATAGTTACTTTCTCTGGTAATTAGTTACTGTTATAATTATGTAACTCGGTTACTAACTATTTGTGAGAAGTAGTAACTATAACTAATTACTATTTAAAATGAATGTGCCCAACACTGCCTACGAGCAGTTATTATTTATTCAATCCTGAAATGCTTAAACCAGCTAATGTACCGACACAACCTTTATTTATTTTGTTGCTAAATAAAAAAAAAAGCGGCCAAAAAAAATCACAAACCCTTGTTATAATCTTTTTGTTTACACTGTACATTAAATGTAATATTTACATTGTATCAACACTTTGAGATGTTTCAGTCACACAAAACTTTTCATACAAAAACAAATATTGTAGAAAATGTAAAAACACCTCTGATTGGCCGCTTTGCTCAAAAGTACAGAAGAAATGTTTGTGATTGGCTACTTTGCTCAGCACGTTCGTTGCAAACACAAATATAATTGAGCCTTTACTGCTTTCGCATTTTATAGTGACTTGTTTTTTTTACCATAAATGATGGTGTATTATTTGATTAACTCTCTCTGCACAGGGTGCGATGGCCGCGACATACTCGGCACTGAAGAGTTCCCAACCACCTCCTGAGCTGAAGCCAATCGAGTCCTCATTCTTAGCTCAGAGACGGGTGAAAAAGCTCCCTTCCACCTCTCTGTAGAGAAGAGGAGAAGTATTCCTGACTGAATGCAGTTGTGGACCGGATGGATGGACAGACGGACGGACAGATGGATGGATGAAAAAAACCACACTGAAGCTCTACAGACTAAAGACGGTCACTTGAACCTGCCCATGACATCAGCACAGGAGGGAAGCTGTCAAGCACACTAGGCAAGGGAGCTGATTGGCTGATGAAGTTTGAGGGGCGTGGTCAGTGAGGGTTCCAGACTCCCTTAGGAGTAAATGTGTTTGTATTTGTTTAGTTTTTTGTGCGTCCAATTTCAAAGAAGCAGGTAAAGGATTCTGGTAAAAAGTAGATGATATTCCCAGTGCTTTTATGTCTTGGTACTGTAATTGCTAAATATTAACACTTTTTTTTTCATCCTTAGTTTTTTGTTTGATTTGCTTATCTTTTTTTTATCTCTGTATTTTGTTCGATCTGGATTGTCATGTTGTTTTGTGTACAATATGTCTTTTTTGAAAGCCTTTCAACTTTTTTTTTTTTTTTTTTTTTGTCAGTAGTTCACTCTTGTAGGCCCTCTCTCTGAAAGCTCGGGAGAAATAAAGATGTTCCAGTATAAGATTTCACCCAGATGAATGACTAAAGTAAAAAATATCTTCCATGAGGATCCGGTGAGAATGTTCACACGACTATCATACTGGAAGTGCTCTCTGCATGGATTTGTACAATGCTGTCTTGTTTTCCCCCAACTCAGCACTTTCGTTTAGTGAACGTATCAGCACTGGTGAAGACTGTTCAGAAAATGTCTCCTTTTGTGTTTATTAAAGCAAACAAGAAAAAAAGTCTGAATGTGAGATGACATCTAAAGCTTCTGGCATGAAAAAAATGTTGCTCTTGTTTAGACCAGTGCTTTTTCTGGATATTGACTGCTGTCTCCTGTGTGTTTTGATTTTGTTGTTGTTGTTTTGCTTAAAGAGAAGTTATTTTATAAAGGCACACGGAGCACAAGATGTATAAATATGACCGCTGAGAAACAAAAAAAAGATTTAATGATTGTGTATATTTTTTATCCTGTCTGTCCTATTCTTTGTTCTCTCTCTGTTCAGAAGCCCAGCGTGCTGGAAATATCCACTATATTGTGCTCAGGCTGTTCTTAGCGATGCCTTGCAAATTCATGAAGCCTTGTCTTGCTCAAGTATTGCACCCAGTCAAACTCGTCTTCAATGTTTTAAGATGTGCTTGCAGTATTGTTTTGCATTTTCCTCACTAGAATTTTTGAATTGTTTAAACATTTGTTTACTCCAATATAAAGATTAACAAAAGGTTTAAGATCTGATTATTGAAATTAAAGAAATCCATAAAATGATAATGGGAATCATTTAGTCACTACATGTTTTTCCAATCCTCTGACATTTGTTTAATTTTTGAAGATACTAAGAGACATGTTCACGCTGTACTTTTGAATACAAATGAAAGGGACCAGGAATCATTTATATTCGATCTAAAATGAAAGCATAACATAATGCTAAAAGTACAAAGTGTTTTATGGTTGGAATGATGTGAGGATGAGTAAATGCTGACAAGAATTTAAAGTGATGCAGTCATGATGTCAAAACTTGGAAGACTAATTTGCAGTTCCTTGAGATTTTCTTTTGGGTTTCTATATTGTTTGTTTCTTTTTTTTTCTTTTGATTCTTAAAATTTGGTCCGCATTAAATAAAACTTGATACTTGGACACACACCACACTCTTATGTGGAACTTAGAAACCTGTATTCCTAAAAAAATGATAATAATAATAAATAAAACAAACCATCTTTTAAAAATCACACATTAAAAAAAATAGTCATGTATCAAAAACCCGTAGGAAAATTTTGAGAAAAACAATCATCTACATTTTAAATAGTTCTTTCATGTTTTTGGTGTTACGGCTGCACCATTATTTTCTTTGGGATTAGTCATTTAAATCAAATCTCTTTAAAAACAATAACTGGAACAGAATTTGAAATTGTAAACAAAGTGTTAAAAGAAAAACAGAGTTTGTGTTTGTAGTTGTGCTTTCTGTTTTTTCCAAACTTTAATTGCTCTTTTTGTGGTATTCGACTTTAATCTTTAAAAAAAAAAAAAAAAAAGTTAATTGTGATTTCTTTGTCTTTCCTTTAAGAAAAAAAGTCTTTATTTGCTGGTAGTCACAGCATTCGGTTGTATTACTGTGTATGTGTTTGTTTCTCCTGTGAAGATGTTGGGAGGGGTGGTGTTTTCTGGTAAATGGGTGTAAATGAACACTCTGCGCTTTTAAAGTTAAGGGGCTGAATTAAAAGAATCTGCATCCTGATGCCTTTCTATTAAAAAAATAAAATAAAAAATGTGTTTTATGTCTTGTTTTGCCCAGAGGTCAAACAAAGCATGAATAGTGAGGAAAATAACCACTAACAAAAGTAAAATTTTTAAGGTGTATAATTTTACAAGACATGAGATAAAAATAAGATTATTCACTGATTAAAAACGGCATTATCTTGTTTTTGGCAAAAAAGGATCAAAATCTAATGAACTTGAAAGTGAAAATCTCACTTGTGTTCTGGTAATCTAGAACAGGTTTTCTTGTCTGTGTGATATATGGTCAAAAACTAATTTATTCATTATTCATTCATTTTCTTTTCGGCTAAGTCCTTTTATGAATCAGGTGTAACCACAGCGGAATGAATATTATATTTAGCTTACCCAATTGCATGTCTTTTGATTGTGGGGGAAACCGGAGCACTCGGAATAAACCCACGCAAACACGGGGAGAACAGAAAACCCCACACAGAAATGCCAACTGACTCTGCCGAGGCACGAAACAGCGGCCTTTTTCCTGATTGTAAGGCATAACATTAAAAATAAACATTAAATATTATATGAAATATTCACTCGGCTAGCGAAATACAAAAAATGCACGTCTTTACATCGTAAACTCTAAGAAAAAAGTGATGATAAGACAAACGAAGCTTTTCTTCGAGTCATTTGAATCTTGAATCAAGTGCACTGCAAAATAGGTATACCCCAGCAAACACGCGACGCAACAAGGTTCCAGCAGCTACAAGCAATTTGGCTGTCTGCATCAGAAACGTTTAAATACCAGCCACTCCTATGAAGTGGTAAGGGTTATTAATACATAATTAATCATTATTAACCTTGCTACAGCTAGTTTATTTTCAAGATCTAAGGTGAAACGTTGCCTCAGTAGTAGGCCTAGGCGTACGGTGAAAATGTTTTCCAACTCGCATTGGTAGCGTTCAACACTGACTATTAGCACATAATTTGTACCTGAGGTGATAAGTCATAGTTGTTTATGCTGTTTTGCCGCGACGTCGTGGAAATAGAAAGTGTTTAAAATAGTAGTTTGATGATTAGGGCAAGCTTGAAAAAACATATTCTGAATGTAACAAAAATAGCATGCATAAAGCTTTCATAATTTTATAGAAAGTCTGTCACATTTAATTGATAATCGTCTAATATCATTATATAATATCTGCACATTTCTAGGTTTGTTTTATTTGTTATAGAGGGCACGGCTAACTATGATTTCTGATGTCTAAAACAGATCCTATGTCAGTTAAAAACAGTTCACTTGGTCGGTAGTGTTTCTTTGTAAATCCACTGAATTGTGTTTTGCAAGTCATCACTAAACTTTTGACAAACGAACTGCGGTGAAAATGATCGACGGCATTTGAAGACGGTGGAAATTAAAATTGGATTTCAGACAAATATGTTTAGTTTTTTTCCCGTCTCATTTAACTGAGTGGACTAGTTGGGCTCACAGGCTAAGTAGGCCACCCTGGTCCTTACTTTTATTTTTAAATGATTCTTAATTGGAACTCTTGAATTTGTCAGTCACAGGGCATATTATATTTTAATCTGCTCATTGGATTAATATACAAAAAGTCAACATGAAAGCTCGCATCAAAATTTAGGCCATGATGTGCTGGATTATTCGAGACTAAATCCATAATGAATGAATAAAATACAAAGCTTTTAAGGTAGCCTATCTCTATCAGTTCACCTACATTGTCTGTTTTTAATCCTCTCTCATTCTTCTCTCCTCTCAATCTGTTCTCCCATTCCTTCTTTATAATCTCCTCCCTTGTCAAATATGTGGACAAGTATGAAAACATTGTTCAAAAGAAAGCATTCTTAAATATGTTAATAAATATTGTCTTGTCATTGTTGGCAAAAATCATATAACTACATGACATCTTACGTAAGATTTATGTATATTACAGTATGTATCAATAATTTCAAAGTTACCCATGAGTAGGCATGGGCCGGTATAAGATTCTGACGGAATAATAACCTTGGATAAAAATATCACAGTTTCACGGTATCATGGTATTGTGATTACTGCTCTAAAATATAGTATTTTTTTAATTGTCTGGGTAAAAAACAACAATTCTTTCCTATTTGAAAATAAAGTATTTTCATTTTTCAAAGATTTATAATATTTTGGAACAGTAAACATGTCAGGCTAAATAATGAAAATGAATCATTGACTTCAGCTGCTTCATTAGTTTCAAAAACACAGATTTATTTACCATTTAAAATGACATCTGTGGATATTTTTTTTCTGCTAGAAAACAAACAAAAAAATGTTAATAAACTTCTTCCATATCCCTTGGGAACGGTTTTTCAGAAAATTTTGACGGTTTTAGCACCTTAACTTTTCCTTGAATACCTTGAAAACGGTTATCGCCCCATGCCTACCCATGAGCTTTACTTCTTATATGATGGACATGTGATGCTTTTTTAAACTGAATTTAGTATCTTTAGTTGTATTTTTAAAAGTATTTAGCCCCAAACTTGTTGCCATGATTGCAAATGTCATATAAAATTCAACAAAATTTTTAAGAGTTTAACTAAAAGATTTAATTTAATCAAAGTTTTCTACTCTACGATATCTGTAAAGGGTCACCTTTGAAATAATCTTATGTTTTCCCTCTCTTTGTCTGTTCATTGTTTATAATCACTATGTAACATCTGTAGCACCACTCAACTTTACTAATGGAATGCTTGGGGAAAAACATTATTAATCCAACACTTACAGCCCCCGCCTGTCCCTCCCTTCATAACGGCTATAATCTCAGATGGATTGGGCTTTTAAAGAGTTATTTAAAGCATGTCTGAGTGATTCTCCCTCTGTACTGTCCCAGCTATTTTTTCACTGACCAAACCACAAAAATGGAGCTCAGCAGGTCACCACTGCTCCTCATCTGCTTTTATTGTATATGTTCTACTAATAACATTCATATCTTTTAAAAATCTTCTCTTATTTGGAACTCTAAAAATATTCAAAGTGGACAATGTCATTTATTGAGCCTCCTACTTCAGAGCTGGTGAATGCTTGATTCTGATTGGTTAGTGAGCATTCTGTGGTGTGCAGTTATCATCAGATTAAAGCACAGCTAAAGCAGTTCTAGGCAGATTGTGACTGTATATGGTTTTATATGCTGAGTGATTTCAGTTACTTTAGAGTCAACAATCAAAACAAAACTAAAGGCTTTGGACCATCTAGATCAGGGATGGGCAAACTTGATCCTCGAGGGCCGGTGTCCCTGCAGAGTTTTGTTCCAACACTAGTCAAACACACCTGAACAAACTAATCAGTGTCTTCAAGATCACTAGAAATCTATAAGCAGGTGTGTTTAATTAGAGTTAGAGCTAAACTGTGCAGGGCATCGGCCCTCCAGGACCGAGTTTGCCCACCCCTGATCTAGATCATAGATCTCAAAGTCAATTCCTGGAGGGCCACAGCACTGTACAGTTTTGCTCCAAACCTTATCAGACACAGCTGATCCAAATAATCGAGGTGTTCAAGAGTTGTTAACACCTTCCTTTTTTGGAAAAGCTGTGTTTGATCAGGGTTGGAGCAAAACTGCAGAGCTGTGGCACTCCAGGAAGTAAGTTTGAGACCTATGATATAGTACAGAGATACCCAAACTAGGGCCCGCAGGCCAAAGTTGGCCCATGGTAACCTTTGATTTGGCCCACCATCCCATCTGAGAAGAGAGG